ATGACAGGTAGAAGACCTTTCGGAGATGAAATTCATGATATAGAACTTATAATCAAAATATGTGATGGTTTACGACCACCAATTGTTACAAATGCGCCCGAAGGATATATTGAATTAATGAAGGAATGCTGGCATTCTGATCCAGCAAAAAGACCAACAGCTGAAGATATATATTGGAAAATTAATAAAATGCGTAATAATGAAAGTTATATAAATCAAACTAAAATTATAGAATCATCAGACATTGGACCTGTAACAATAAATAATCCAGATGCCATTTATAAGAGTAGACCATTAAGTCGCATGATTCAATCTGCAATGTCTTTAAGGAATTCAAGGAGTCAAACTATCGGTAATAAATTTTATTAATTATAACGCATTTTTGTTGCAAGAAAAATTTTAAGAATTATTGATTTTTAAACAATTTTTAGATCCATTTTATTATTATCAGAAAAATGCTGGTAATTATTCAGTTTTTGTTTAATGGTTTTTTTATGTTCTTACTCATTATTAATATTATTTTAAAGATAAAAGAAAGTTTGAAGATGATTCAGTTGAAGATAGTAATGACAATGGTACGGTAATTAATTTAATAAATTATTATTTTGTCATTATACTTTCTACTATTTAATTCACATTCATAATTATTTAGAACAAAGTATTAAAAGAAGAAAATTTCTTGAAAATGAAAATAGTGGTAAATGAAATTGCATTTTAGCAATCAGCATATTTCATTTCATAATTTAATTGATTTTTATGATTTTATAGATTACTTTACAAAAGAAATCGAATTAGATATTAATATGAGCTCTAATCAATCTCATGATAAAGGTAAGCAAATATACGTTTATAAATATATGTCTGCATTATAAAATTTTTATCTAATTTTTGTTTTCAATATAAGGATATGTCACCAAAGAAATTGAACTTGATATCAACGCTCTTTAATTATAATATTTAAACCCAATTTTGTTTTTATATTATACAGTACTGTAAATATAATATACAAATATATTAATGTTTAGTTACATTAAACCATAGATGGATTGATTTTATATAAACTTTAAAATTAGCTATAATTGCTGAATAGTGATTTATTGTAATTACAATAATATCTTAACCTAATTTTTTATTACCAATTCATTTTCATGTATGATAGTAAAATGAAAGTTAGAAAATTGTTTCTCATATCAAAATTTGCTTTTGATTAACCTGTTTAACGAACTTTTTTAGTAAATCAGTATTGTTCACTTTATATAGTATAAATAAGCCATTTATTTTTCCAACAGTTAGATTATATTAAATAAATGAATTATATAGTTTTAATATACTTCATAAATATAAAAAAAAATTAAATTTCAGAAATCAGAATTTCTGGAATATGAAAACTGAAAGTTATATTTTGCATCGTCTAACTAAAAAAAATCTATGACAATCGAGTTACCAAATTTTATTGCTTTAATTGTGAAAAGTTTATCGATTAAAAAATGGTATTTTATTATCTACATAAAACTGTAATTTTAAGTTTTAACATCATTATTAATTAGTAACCACGTAAAAGAATCGTCGCTTACCAAAATCAAAAAAAGTGGAACAAATGATGACAATTATATATATAACGTTAATGTATTTTCATCCCATGATGGGAAATTTCTTTACATAGCAGGAATATCAATAATAGGCCGTTAAGACAAAAAGTAGTCAGTTTCGCTCTTGGTGTATATGAATCCAATTCGGCGACGCTCATTTTATGGAATCTAATTATCAGCCTTATGCAATGATTATTCTCAACTGTTTATTGAACATTCATTTTAGTATGTGAACTCATTTTCTTTGATGAATTTTTTAAAAAAATTTAGTGAATACTGAAGATAATTTTGTGAAGAACATATGAAAAAGATTTTTTATAGAGTGTTTCATGATTATTTTTAAGCGCTTGATTGGTCGACCTGCGTAAAAAAATTAATTTGGTCCATCATTTCCTATTTCATAAAAAACGTGATATACAATGATGACGATCTATGATTTTAATCGAAAACGAAAAAAAAATTAGTTGATATTATGTAATTAGATAAATGAATAGTAGGCTAGTTGTTGTATTTGTCGGATAAAATCTTTTTTATATACCTGATTAAATTTTTATTAGCTGTGTCATGTAGCAAATTAAAAATTGATCGGTGCGATAAATGAGACTTATTTCCTATAAAAAAATTTTATCCGTTATTTCTGGAAAAACTCCGTAAAAGTGAGCCTTTCACGGATCCATTCACGGAAAATGTAAATGATTCGGTAAATTCCGTGATATAAGGTTATTAATTCCGGAAATATGAGCCTTTTACGGAAAAAAGGCGGAATATAAAAAACGGATCGACTTTTTTTACAGGGATTATTAGAATATGATATAATTAATCATTTTTTATTTTTATATTATATGACTATTGCAGCTGTGTTGTCACATAACATATATTATGGTTATATAAGTAAAAAAAATTTATTCATATTATATAAATACATCTCAAAAAAAAACTACACAAATACCCTTTTCTTTCCTTTGTTCAGGTGGTATTTTTTCACATTCTAGACGTATAATTAGTAGTAACAAAAGATGAGAATTTTAAAAGTCTATTTTCCTTTTCGGTGGAACTGAAAATGGAAAGATGTATTTTAGATTATCTGAGACGAGTTCTCTCTTTTTGCTCTTAAATAGCGTTGGCTTCTCTAATTTATAACATCTTTTTATCCTTAAATTCTTGCTAAATATTACATGAAAAATCCAGTCACGCACCAACAGCGGTAGAATTCGTGACTGAAGTTTCCGGTAACCTTAAATTTTTGTTAACTTTTTGTTAAATTTTTAAAAAAATATTTTTTTAGAAGCATTTAAAAATATCAAAAATAAGTTATGAATAATCAATTAAATTTACTATTAATGTAAAAAAAAAAAAATACTTTATTTAGCTGCTCCTCCATAGGGGAGGTAACCCCGGTATAAATTGTTATTTGCTCTTTTTACTTATTTTTTTTAGATTAAACCGGAAAATATGACGTATTTGATTCATTGATTGGTTAAATGTCACGTGTTTAGAAAATTTCGTTATAAAGCAATCGTTATATCAAGAGCTGATAGTATTTTGATACATTATCTCTGAATTTTATCATCATAATTATTATTACGAGTCATTATTTCTTATTATCAGCATTACAATAATTTTAATTTTATCAACTTTACACCAAATAACTCTATATGATAATAGGGAAAGTATTTTTAGAATCTCTAGTTAAAATTTTAAACGTATTTTGAGGATAATATTCAAAATAAAAAAAAAAATCGTTAATCTTATTTAACAATGATGAACGAATATTAGCACAAAAAAAAAGCCACGTGCGCAATAAAGATGTACAGATGTCACATGTTACGCGAACCCCTTTATTAAACACGTATGACAGGAAAAGGAGTATATCATTAATAGTTTGAGAAAATGCAAGCTAACATTATAAAAAAAAGAACAAATATTTACATTTAATAAACAAAATTAATTTTGTATACATGCTAATTGTTTAAAACTTTTTAAATTATTTGTAAACTTTTGACATAGCGCGCACACTCTTTACTCACAAGTCACAATAAATAACAACGTGTTCAATGAACAAACTAATTTAAAAGCACGTTTTATTATTTTCTTTGTTTTAACCTGTCGGTTTGTGATTGGATAATAAAGCAACATTCGATCACGTGATTGTTATTGATATGCCTTTTGTTGATCTGAACGGCTAGACCAGTCTAAAAATACACGTATATACGTAATAACGTTCTTTATTGCTGCTATTAGAATTGTGTTACTATACATCGTATAAATGCTATCCTTATATTGTAAACAAATATAATTAAAAATGAAATAAATGGGCTAGCATAAGAAAGCTCGGCGTGAAGAAGTTATTTGCATTATTGTAATTAATTTGTTCCTTTTTTTTATTTAATAACAGAAATTATATATGAATATAGAACTTACACTGTTACACACCATTAAAATATAATGTATTGTTCTATTCTTTGCATGGAACATCTAAAAATCCGTGTCTTTTTTTTTCTTGGTAGATAGTGTGCATCCATCAGAATCTTGTTTTTACCATTTTTACTAGTTTGTGTAATTACGTTAGATCATCGGATCTTTCTATTCTATCTATTTGTAATTCTCCGAACGACGGGCGGATCCGAACTTTTTAAGCCTTTGTGTAATTAATAAAAATTTATTTATTTAAACGAGATTTCCTGTAAAAAAAAGTGGTTTTTTTTAAAAAAATTATTTCGCGTGATTTTACCATTTCTGCGGTGTAATTAATTTAATAGGGCAAGGAAGGGATTGTAAATTTTTGATGCGTTTTGTAAATCAGCGTTACATAAGGATTATTGTATTTTATATTTTTGGGTTTGATTTACTTGTTTTGTTCTAGCGTTGGGTATTTTCGGAAAAAAAAAGTAATAATAAGAAAATCTCGAATAAATATAAGAAATAGAATAGGAAGAATAAACTTTTTATTTTCATTCTCTCTCTCTTTTTTTTTTTTTTTTTTTTTTTTTCTTTGTATTTTTAAAAAACATGGGGCATTTATATATAGAAGAAATATCATCTTATACGCAACAATTTAGTAAAAAATTTCGACAGCGTATTTTAATATTTCATCCTTTAGAAAGGTTATTTATTTACGCTAGTACATTAAATACGATATTTTCAACTATATTAATTAGTAATATATTAAATTATCAATTAGATGGTTTAATAAATATTTCAGATTTGGTATTTTATATGACTGTACCAAGTTTAATTATAGGAAGTTTTTTTGTGGTAAGTAAAATATATATATAATAATTATTTTTTTTAAAAAAAACAAATAATATTTTTTTGTTTGATTTTTCTATTAATTAACTTTCTTTTTATTTTTTTTATTTTCTTTTTTAGATTTATTTTCAATTCTTTGTCTATTTTGTTATTTTTATCGTATCAAATATATTCCCAATCTTACTTTATTATAATTTAATTCAATTCTTATCTGGATTATGTGAACCGATTTTTTGTTTAGAACCTGGTGTCACTTTATTCAGAAGTTCTTATTTATTACTTGCATTTTCCATCTTATTTGAAGTTGGTTATATTTATATAGGTTACGAGATTTGGAGAAAAGGGTAAGAAAAAAATTTTTCTTTTTTTTTCGATTTTTTTGATTTTTTTTAAAAAAATCTTTTAATTTTTTTTTTCTCGGAATATTGACCTTTTTTTTTCTCTTCTTTTTTTTATCTCAATTATCTCAATATTTAGGATTTGGAATTTTAAGAACGATACCACGCCGTATACGGCTTAATAATAATAATAATTTACTTTTTTTCGTATATTGTATTTTTATTACCAACGCTAATAATATGTAAAACGTAAGTATTAAAAAAAAAAAAAGGAATATAAAGAATACGTAAAAGTAATTCTATTTTTTTTTACCTGTTTTATTTATTATTTTTTTTTTTCAATCACAAATCTTCTAACATCATCATCATCTCTTCTAGATTAATTTAATATAATTAATAATATTAAAAATGGATATGATTGTGTATTAATCTTTTTTTTCTTTTTATTTATAAAAAAAGATTTTCAAATAATTTCTTTTTTTTTTTTAATTTTGTTCTTTTTCGGTTCTATTTTCTTTCTGTGATGTGATTTCTACTAGACTTTTTTTTTAAAAAAAAAGATAGAAAATAAATATAAATTTTGATCTCTCTCTCTCTTTTAAAGAGAAGAAGAAGAAGAAAAGGAAAATATAATTTTTGATCTCTCCCTTTTAAAGAGAAGAAGAAGAAGAAGAAGAAAAGAAAATATAATTTTTGATCTCTCTTTTAAAGAGAAGAAGAAGAAAATATGATTTTTGATTTTGATCTCTCACTTTCAAAGAAAAAGATGCAATATATAAGAAAAGAAAATGAAAAAAAAGAATAATACAAAAAAAAAAAAAAAAAAAAAAAAAAAAAAAAAAAAAAGAAAATGTAAATAATAACAACATATAATTATAAGAGAAATTTTCATACCTTTTTACCCAAATCGCATAACCAAAGAAAATAAAATTTAATTCAAATAATATAGAAAATATAAATAATACAAAAGCCGTTTGTTTTATGAATCTAATATGTTTTATACAAACAAGAGATTCGCATACATCATTCACGAATTGTATTAAAACGAAATAGATTAATATAGAAACTGAATTTGTCATGGTGAAAACGGTAAAATATAATAATGATCTTGAGGTGAACTTTATACGAAAAGAAAGCGAAGCAATTATTAAATGAAATGTTTTGAATCAACCAACGAAAAAAAAAAATAAAAAAAACCACTTACAGTGATAAAACTTGCAGTGACTAAACCTAATACGAATAAATAAAATAACCAAGAAATGTTCATGATGGAATTAAATTGTAAAAGTAATAATCCCACACTTGATGAAATCGAAATAATTGCATAACACATAATGATGAAAAATAAATTCTTTTCTAAAGAATGTAATTGTGAATACCATATTTTTATACTTGTAGAATCCATAACAGTCATAATGAAAACAAAAAAAATATATAAATATGTATAAAATAAAAAAAAAATTTTTTTGAGCGCTATTTTTACGAAACCCGAAAAAAAAATTCAAATCAAATTTTTTTTCAAGATTGCAATAAAAAATGCTAAGCCCATATATTATATAGAATAAATAGGGGATAATAAATTCCTGATTCGTCATAGCTACATAATAAATTCATTAAACACTAACCTTATCCGTAATAATAAAATAAATTATAGAACACGTGACTTTAATTTCATCTCTTTTCTTGGCAAACATTTTGATCCAAAGAAAGGTAAGCGGATTCTAAATTTACACTTTTAATGTTAAAAAACTTAGTAACACTTTATAATATGAATAATTGTGATTAACAATGACAATTATTTTTTGTAATCTTTGAAACAAATAATGTTTATATTTTTTTGTAATCATGTTCAATTATTTTATCTAGATATAATGAATTTCTCGAAACGATTATTACTATTGAGGAAATTAATTTTGAAAAATTTATTTGTGTGCATGAGATAATCGAATATAGTAATCATTTATAGTAGTAATTTTTATCAAAAAATCATTACCTTACAAGTTTTTCAATAAAAAAATTCTTGGCAAAAAATGTAACACTTCGATAATTTAAAATTACGCCCAATCGTGAGGTGCCAAAAATACATGTAAATTCACGTGATGACGTTCAGTTAAGGGTAACAGGCGCCGGGTCCCATGTCGATCATCATGTTTCCCCGGTTTTGTAAAAATGTCACAATGAAAGACCAAAACTTAACATATGACTACCGTATTTATACGTATGATAAAAATGTTGTTCCTTTTCCTGTTTTTTTTTTAATTAAAGCTTGTTATTCATCCCGTTTTTTTTTTTCCTTTTATTTGTCAAAGGTTGAAATGAGCTCATTTTTTAATATTTCTAAAATAAACAAGAACGCCTTAACTTTATTTATTCATATGTTCCGAAAAAAAAAAAATCTTATTGTTAATGCACTAGATTTGGATACATTTTAAAAGTTTAATTATTATTACCACTTTTTTCTTTGTAATAAATATCGGAAACTTCCGCCGAAAACCTTTTTTTTTTTTAAAAAACATTTAATATTAATATTAATTCTTATTGGTGTTTTATAATTGACCATTATTTAAATAAATTTTTTTACTTTTTTTTTTTTTAAAAAAAAAAAACAAATAATAAGTGATCATTTTGTGTCACCTTAATAAATAAATAAATATTTGAAACTTTTTTACTAAATAAAATGAAAATTCGCATAAGAAAAATCTTTTAGAAATCGTTAATTGTCATTTGATTATTACTTTACAGAAATTTAAGTGGAGGACATTTAAATCACGAATAATAAAACATATGGGTTTAAAATTAAAATTTTATTGGCCATTATATCATATTAAAAACAGGATTATTAATTTCTTTGTAACATGATTATCTAAGGTAAGTACACCTATTGAAATTATACTTTATGTTACACATCAATTACATCAATTACATTTTTGCTGATAAGCAAGGCTTCTTTTGTTTGTTTAAACATTGTGTAACTTGTTGTTTGAATTTTTTACAACAAACAAATAAATCATCAATTACGCGAGAAATAAATCTGGGATTGGATTCATTCTTGTGTAATCTGTATAAATAGAAGGTGGGATTTATTTTTAATTTCACCAATTTTGAATAATGCTTTAAGAATTTCGAATGACTATCTTATCGTACCTAATAAAGATTTCCATTTTTAGATTTCGATTTAAGGAAAAAATAAACAACCGATCAAATACGTGAGTAATTGAATGATAAACAATAGATAATTATGTTGTTACATTATTCATGCAATTCATCAAAAAAAACATTTAAAAAGGAATAAAAAAAAAATATCTCCCTTTTTTCACGTCAAACTCAATAAAAACAAATTTACAACTTTTAATTATTATTGTCTTTTCTGTATCATAACAATGTATGAAAATTTTAGTTCATTTGAAGAACAGCACCCAAGAGATGAACGAGCTGAATATATTATTTCTCCACAATATTTTCCACCACACATACAACAACTAACAAACGAACGAGATTCTACTGCGCATTATTCTTTACCAATCTCTATGCCTTTATCATGCAATAATACTAAGAATGTTCAATATATTAATTACGATTTTAATGAACAAATTCCTTCTGTTGTTCATGATTCACCGACACTAATTCCACATTATATAGACGATAACAATAATTATGATTGTATTATTCCCACAACACAATATACTACATCATGTTCTATCCCTATGCAACAACATATCAATGATGATTCAATCTCACAATATTCTTCACAACCCTCCACTCTTACACAACCATTTAACTATAACGATGCTGAAACGCAACAATTTTACGATAAGAATCCGCAACAACCTTTTTTGAATCTTCCTTTACCGTGTGAAGATTCTAATATTATCTTTAGATTCGAAATTCCTGGACTTGAAATCATTATTAATCCTTCAACTTTCACAAATGATTATATTATTGATGATCCAAACTCACAATATTCTTCACAACCACAACACTATATCCATAGTAATGATGAAACGCATCAAATTTACGATAAAAATCAGCACCAACCTATTTTGAATCCTTCTTTTCCGCATGATAATTTACATGTTAATTCTCATACATATAGGTTTGATATCCCTGGATTTAATATCACTATTAATCCTTCAACTTAAATTCTGTTTTTCAACAGTTATATACGGTAGTTTAATTAATATAAAGAAAAAATCATAATTCTTTTTCGATATCCTTGTCTACATTCCTTATTTTTCAACTCTTTATTCATGATTAAAATAGGTTTGTTAAAAAAAGTTATGTAAATATTTATTTTATGCATTATTATTAATATTTTTTTTTATGTATTATTTTATCAATTGAAGTTGTTTTCGAATATTTGATATTTGAAAAATAAAAATAATAGCGTGTAATATATTTTATTCTGATAATCTCTGAATTATTGAAATTATTGAAATTATTGAAATTGCTGAAATTGCTGAAATTGCTCAAATTATTGAAATTATTGAAATTGCTGAAATTGGTGTTTTTTAATTCATTGCACAAAATAATAAAATAATACTGATCAATTTTAAAATTAATATTTAAAATAGAAATAGATAAATAGTCGCTCGTTATTATGACAAATTAACGTTTCGAATTTATTTTTTAATTTTAACCTATAATATATCCGGTATCCTTCATTTCTTTCGGATTATCCGTGAAACGAAGGAACATATTAACTTTCAGGTTTCGGATTTATTTATATCCGATTCTTTTTGTTTTATTCGAATTTTAATTCGAATCAAAGAAACCGGATTTAAATCCGAAAATGGATTATTATCGTTATCTTTTGATTTTCTTAACTCTTTATAAATAAATAAAACAAATAATAAAAAAAAAGTTAAATTATTATTTTTTTTTTTTTGATAATCAACTGTTAAAGCAGTAAATAAAATTTTGAACTTACCCAACTTACCTAAAAAACTCGTGCATTTCTATTGTATTGTTGGTCTATATCTGATACATTACAGAGAATACCATTCTAATGTTCATTCACACGCTTAATTATAAATAATAAATTTTTTCAGCTGTTTCATATGTATTATCACATTCATATTTACAATTTTTTTACTACTTATTTACACCGAATATTATAAATTCAGTTTAGTTTAACTTTGAAACTTATTTCAATGAAACCCTGAACCCGAGTAAATATACTCGAATAGTACTAAATCAAAAATTAATTTGTTTAATTTTCGGCTATTTAACTATATTTTCTCCGGTCAATCTGGTACCTTTATCATCGGGCATATCACATGTCGATCATGACATTTCTGGTACATTTCGCCGAAGGATGGGACGTTTCACCGAAGGAATGGGACGGCCATTTCACCAAATCGTCCATTTCGCCGAATTCCATTTCACCAAATCGTCCATTTCGCCGATAGCCATTTCACCGAATCGTCCATTTCGCCGAAAGCCATTTCACCGAATTCCATTTTACCCGAAGCCATTGATAGTGATTATCACTTTTATAAAAATAAAATTTTTTTTTTTTATTTATTTATTAAATTACATCAGGAACTTAATAGATATTCTGATTTACACTCGAATATACAAATGAAAAATTCTTGGCACGTATTACATGTATTAATACGTTAATTTAAGCCGAATATATAGCGCTGGTCAATTAATAACCCAAATTAATGTATAAAATAATAAAACTTAGACGTATAAACTTAGACGTAAAGTATATCTTCGATTATTGATTGAGTACTTTAATATTTTCATTTTTTTTTTTTAGTTTCTATTTTACATTTTTTTTTCACGTCATCTATTTTTGCAATAAGAATAAAAATTATATAAATGTTTTAACAAAACAATTCTTTTCATTTTTTTTTTTTTTTGTAAGTATCTTTTCTTTTATGATAATATCACTTTAACATTCAAATAACTGATATTATATGTTACGTAATAAAATAAATAACTTTATTTTCTTGAAAACGTTTAAAATATTCACGAAAAAGTAATTATATTTTGTGTTATAGTTTTTTATTAACATATAAATGCTTGTATGCACAAAATATTTGTTTGATGTTTTTTTTTAAAAAAAAAAAAACTGATGATCGATTTCTTCAATTAAAAAATCAACAGAAAATCAAAAAACTTCAAAATCATAAATGATAATTATTGGCTAATGTTCAAATCTATTTCTGATCATGAAATTCACCAATCTAAGACTTCTTTCCGTTCGGCGAAATGGCTTCGGCGAAATGGAATTCGATGAAATGGGGTTTCGGCGAAACGTAAACATCCCTTCGGCGAAATTGCTTCGGAAAAATGTCCTGATACCATTTCATAGATGGTAATTGTAAACTAAGATGTAAAAAATATCGTATTACCTGATATTTTTTTCATGGTTTTTTCCTCCTTAACTCTTTATCTACTCTTACAGTATATAGTCTCCATTTCGCACTCCTGTTAATTACTAACGAATATTCATCATGTCTTAGTGAGTTTTTTTTTAAAACTTTTCTTGTTTATGCAATATAATGGTAATTATTCATTTTTTTTTTTTTTAAAAACGTCTCCTATTTTCTCTATGATAAAAGGCGGGAAAACAAATTCGGATTTCACGATTTTCTAAAATTAATATTGCAAGCAACAGCTGTTGCAGCAATGGTCATGATTGCTATAAGAATAACTGATATTTCTACAAGCCTAAATGACATGCAAGATTCTCTCTCTAGGGAATTAGACAACATCCAATGTGATTTAGGTAATATTGCTTCTAGTGTTTCCCGTTTGAAATGTGTTTAATAATTCATGTTATATTAGAACTAGTCAAATCAAAATTAGAAAATACTTTAGTTTGCTATTAAGCATCACTACAAATGTATTTTTACAAAAACAAAATGAATTTTTCTTTTCTCATTATTGGAATTGATACTTTTTATCTGAAGAAAAAAAAAAAAACTTTTTATTACTTTTATTTACTCTATAAATTTGATCATAAACGTTTTATGAATATCCTAACAATAAATTATAAAGTGATCACGTCTTTTTTTTATAGTGTACGATTCTGGATCCGTTAATAGATTCTGAATTTATACGTCACTGTGAACTAAATCGAAATTTTTCGATGACAAAAAATAAAATATTAAAAGAAAAATACGTTACGTCGTTGCGTGTGATAAGTCGGTAGGAATCATAGGACATTTTAAATTCCAAATTTTTAATATGATTTCCAGTTAAACGAAACAATAATATAAAACGTTCAATATCTGTGCTTTGATTTTTTACATCGATTTACTGTAACAGCTACTGTAACAATATTTTATCATTATTTACATTGATTTATTATAACATCATTAATTATTTTCATCATTAAGTCTTTTATCGCAGTTTTCAGAATTCTGTATACGTTATAATTACTTGATGATTATGATTACAGGACAATTACTGGACAATTACTGAGTGATTATGATTATAGGACAATTATAGGATGATTATAGGACGATTACAGGACGATTACCGGACAAAATTGTTCAGTTTTTGTCCAGTAATCGTCCTGTAATCATAATCTCATAATCTTTTTTATTAGAAGACCTGCAGGGGGTAGCACAATTTTGAAAAGCGCAATAATAACAATTATAAGACTTTGAGAGTGAATTATTTTCTGAAAACAATATCTTCAATATTTATTATATTTATGTAAAAGATTCACAATTCTTTAATTAATTAGAAGTTATCAATAATAAATTTAGTCGATAGATACGTTGATATTATTTAATATCATATGTTGATAATATGTTAAACATTCTTTAGAAAATTATGGCATTTTTCTTTGCAAATTAAAATTAAATTTATTTAAAATGCATTATTTTAAAAATTTTACAAGTAAATAATATAATTTTTACAATCTTTTCTAGAAAAAAAAAATCCATCGCTTATCTGCATGTCACGTGTTATATAATTAAAGTAGAACCTATCTGCTATATAAATCATTTTCACACCATAAAGTAGATAGATACTGTAAGGTCGTCTTCTTTCAAAGTTCCCTGAGTTCTAGTGATAATACCCTGTGTTTCTGTTGGACGCAGCTTTTACTCATGAGCCTTCATATTAATAACGTTTCAACCGTCTAAAAAAATTACGACGGAGATCGACTAAAATTATAAAATTCTTAACGTAAGAGCGTCATAAAATGAATGCACGCGAAATAACTTTTTTCATAGAGAATTAATTGAACATGGAAAAAAAATGATAAGCATCATAAATTCGTAATGATGTGGTGACCATATTTTTTCAGGCGGCTCCTTGGCAAACAAAGCTATGGATACAAACAAATCCTACGCCAAATACCAATTATGAATGGGATCTGTTTACCAAAAAAAACAAAGGTTCTACTTTATCTTTGCGAATTATTCACAAAATGTGTAATATTTATTTATATTAACGAAACGAAGTTTTTTTTTTAAAAAAAAAATTCTTGCGAAAAGGATGGGTTGCCTAAACAAGTGAAGAGTCTTGATGTTTCAGAACAAAAAAGTTCAATTTCTTTATGGATAATCCGATTTAAAATGTTGGGAAAATTAATATGCCCAATTTAGATTTCATTTATGTGGCTGAATGTTACAAAAATTACGTAATTTGAGTCTCCCGATGATGATTTATTTGTTTATTATAATTACAATTACCATTGTCCGGTTAGATACGTATATAATAAGATAACGTTAACTAAATGAAACTATGCCGTCAACAAACAAGTCAATTATCAGGCTTTTATTTGCGCAGGCGAATAAACAAGCTATTAGTTATTTACTGTTGATTGATTTTCATATTGTTTATTACGCCAAACACACATGATCGTTGGAAATTGAAAATTTAATATATATATAATCGTTGAACTAAAAAAGAAATAAAACTATTACCACCATGTCTTCTCTCGTACTCGCCTGCCTTATTTTCGATGACCCTATTGAGAACACCTTTACGATAGATATTAACAAGAATAAACAGATTAGTCACCTAAAGGACGCTATTAAAGAAAAGATTGAACATCGTTTTGAAAAAATTGACGCAAATGATCTTGAATTATGGAAGGTTAATATCTCTACTAGCGATAAGTCAAAATTTGAGCAACTCAAAACTAACACATCGCACGAGTTGATACTTAAAAATGTGTTGGGAGGTGAGATGATAACAGATGTAGAGAAAAATATCAAGAAAGTTTTTAATAATTTACCTAAGGAAGAACATATTAACATAATCGTCAAACCACCTGGTGAGTTAATTGTTATTGTAATAGATTAACCTTTGCCTGGAATTTTTTCCAACATTTAAATTTCATTCATATTATTATAGCGCATATACCTAAATTGGATCATGCTGAAGCTACGGAGGACGTTAAGTGTCCTCACTGTCAGGCCACTTTCAAATCTAAGAACCGAAACTACAAAAAGCATAAATCAACATGCAAACCCAACGTTACTTTGGGTGTAGACATGGGAAATGGACTTATCGGTATACCTTCAGAAAATGTTATTCCTTGGGTTTCTTCAGTATCGGACAAGGACCTATCGCAATCAGAATCTCTATGCAGAGAGCTAGCAATCTCATTTTCTCGCAGTAATGATATCAGCCATAATCGCAAAGAGATTGACAGATTAATGTTAAGTGCATTTGGTCGCACGGTCAGTGAAGCTTTTAGTCGCAATATCTGCGTTGTTTGCGGAGTTCGACCTGAACGATTTCACAATGAAGCTAGTCGCCAAGAATATGAAAAAATTAGTGGTATTTGCCCAGCTTGTTGGGAAACAGAAACTCTTCCACCTGATGATACTATAGAACAAATTAAGCGTTCTCAACAGATTCTTCTTAGTTACGGTCGTGAGTTTATCTTATGTCAACAACTTCCTCATGCATGGAAGTGCCTTCGCTGCCAAAAGGTTATTCAAGGAAAAGAACGCCTGACACATGCTGTGAAATGTAGGGAGGGTGTTTAACCAAAAGGACTTCGCGAAAATTATTGTGATTACAATATATGACGCCACTAATACTGTCTACGAATTTTTATTTTTATAGGAAAAGTATCTGTAAAGTTTACTTTAGTGCTAAATAAGCTAAATGTTTAACATTCTATTTTATATAAATATATAACAATTCATTGTAAAATTTTGTTAAAATTATTTTTTATTTTATTTTTTTTTTAACAAATAAAAATTCTGTTAATCGTTTATTCTTTGCTCATTGCTTATGATGTTATAATGTCTATCATGGCGACATTGACCGCGACAAATAAAAGTGCTCCTGATGCTTATATACTTTTTTTTATTCTCGACTTACTTTTATTCTATATTATAGAAAATTCTATTCTATTTTTATTCCTGCTTAATTATTATACAAATGAGTAATGACGTTAGTCCTCACGATGATTTGATAATCAACGATAATTTAAGGTCAGCAGTGAATTTAATCACATAAAAGATTTAAATTTTCACTTTTTATGATTTTAACTTTATTACATAAAATTCTTCGGAATAACATAATTTTTTTAAATATATCTACTTTCTGATATAAAGGGAGATTGATAGAAATTTTAAAGCAGCTGATTCAGGATTCATATTATTAGGATATTTTTTGGTATAGATCTTTTTCATTATAATGTACATTGGTTTTTAACATGCATCGCTTAGAATTTTCAAACTATTAAATAATAAAGTATTTAATATATATTTTTCTAAAGAAAATATTACTTACTATTGGGATTACGTTAAAATTAAAAAACCACGTGTTCTAGATTTTCGATATCTTAAAAAATTTTTACTAAATTATAATAAGATTGAACTCATGAAAGCTTATTAGAAATTGTACTGTATTCTGTATATATGAATAGTTCAATCATCCATTCCGCGAAGAAATCAAAAATAATTTCATGTCATGAGTCATTTACTTCTTTCTTTGTAGGTATATAGTCGTAACGTTCAGTACATAAGAAGAATATAAATAAATGATATATAAAATTTTATATAATCAATTGTTAAATAGTCAATTATTGGTTTTTCCATTTCACTCAAATATGTATTAAATTCTTAACGAACTTTTTAGATATTATGTTTTTAAAAAAATAAAATTAAGTGATATTTATATATTTACTACTCGAGTCTTAGTTAAATGTTATATTGTTATAATAATGTGATAAACTACGTTTTCCTACTTAATACTTTAAAAATCAATTAAAATGAAAATAAAATAAAAATAAAATAGCGTTATCAGGCTAAATAATTATTTATTTACACTATTTATTATATTTTATGAGCAAGTATAATAATAGTGGCTTCTCTAATTAGTCATTTCTCCTCGATTAGCCTACAAAATTCAAAAAAAAATGTTAGTTACAAAAATAACTAAATAAGATTCCGTTCAGGTTGTAACCTTGGTTGCAACTGAGCCAACCGATCGTAAACCCTGCAGTGCGCTGTGAAAATCATTGATATTCATGACTCATACATATACTCCTCTCAAAAGCTCCCATATTCTATTAAATCCAAATAGAATGTCTGATTGTTGCGTCAATATTTCACTAAAATTTATGTTAATATCACGTAATATCTCCAAATCTTCTTTTTTATCTTCTAGTATTAACATTTAATATTGATTCATATAAAATTTCCTCAATCGTGGCTTCATTTCTTTCACATTTCCAAACATGAAACCAATCTATATCAATATTGCATCTCGGACATGTTTCACTTGTAATTTCGTTTACCTCTCTTTTGTATAAAACTTCATAAGTAGGTAATTCTTTCAATAAATTTTTAATTTTATATGATCTCTCCTTTGTATCTTCTTCACTACACTGCCAGAAAATGAATTTATTTCTATTACTAATAAATTCAAGCGTTTTAACCAATCGAATTCATTTTTATAATTGAAAAAGAACAAATCTTCAATCATTTTGCTATTGAGAATTCCATATCACTTGCGTACAATCCTCTTAAATCGCCATTTACTGTATCAGGTCATTTTTCCAATATAAGTTGAATTCGTTTGATTTTAAACCTTTGTCTATAACCTCTATTACATAATTTTCCTGGTTCTTTTTCTTTTCCTCCAGTAAAAATTTTTCCATTTTACCTTTCTCTTCTACTATATTTTTTAATTCTGAATGTCCTAAAATATCTAATTTCATATCCTCCTCCTGTAAAAATTTTTCAATTCTAAATAATAATCCTCATCTATCTTCTTAAATTTTTCTAAACATCTCCTAACTTTTTCGTCAATATTTTCCGTGTTATTTTTCCTATGTCTTCTACAAAATACGGTAAGGGTATATTCTTCGATGTGTTACGCGAAATTTGGTGATGGTAGTTATTTGCCATATATTTTTATTTCATATTATAAAATATTTAAATAATAGTTATTGCGTCAGTCACGCAAGATCATGCTATTATTATTGTAAGAGTATTAATAAGTATAAGGATGAATTTGTAGTCATATTAACCGATAAAAAAAAAATATCAATTATTTAGCCATTAACGAAAAATATCAGTCCGTCAAAATCAGCATGATCCTAATAGACTGATCAATAATTTATTTTTATATTATGTTTATCATGATATGTATTGAATATTATTGAGTTTAGGTTAAAAAAATATATGTTTCATTTCGTCCAAATGAATACCGATTGCTGTATACATAGTATCTTTACCCTAAGTTAGGATCCTCACACACATACTTTATCGGAGGTTGGAGGAAAGAATGTTAAGTGGGGTGGTTAGTATTTGATTGGCGGTCCCTAATAAGGGTGACGTTAAATTCCTTAATTCCCTATTCGTTTTCTTGATAGACTATTTATGAATTTCCTTTTGCTAATTAATCGTTTACTCATACATCGGTACTCTTTAATTTTATAGGACAATAACAAACTGGTAATAACTAATATGCGCAGTGTGTTCATCAGTAAAGTTGTTCAACTGCGCAACCTAGATAATTGTTCCCTTATAAGGATCAATGCCGCAGAAATAATTTCTTTTTTTTTTTAAAAAAAGGTGATTTTTTAATTTTATAGTACTTTTGTTTTTGTTACAATTTTTAAAAAAATCGACAATTAGAGTTCTTTATAATTAAATAATTATTTATATTTGAATTAATTTTCATGATCCCTTGCTTGAAATTTGGGATATGCAAAAAAACGCGAAACATGTACAATGTACACAAAAAAAAAAAGAAAATATGTAAGCTTTGTTAAGTAATCCATGTTCTAAGAAATAAGAATTAGCGATTGGCTTTCGCATTAAAAAAAATTTGTTTAATAAAATTGATTATACTTGACAGTTTTATATTTCTTGTCCATCCAGTTTTATAATCATTTATAATTTAAAATAGTATTTATGAGTCACGGTAAATCAAATTTTATGATATTGATAGCGCATTTATTATAAAGTTTCACTACGTTTTTGATCGGTTCATACGAACCTTATTTGTCACTTTTACGCAAAATGATTTTTGATTTGTTGGATTAAATTAATAGAATAAAAATCCATACTTTACAATATCAAACAATATAAGCGTTATTAGTATTTTAAGATGATAGTAAATATTTTGTTTATTAATGTTTCTGTGGAAGTCAGATTTTGACCAGCATTATGAAATCCTATCCTAATGACTTATTCAGTGAATATCCTAGAATTACGGATATATCCGTTCACTTTTCAGTAGGATATCCGGTAAATATGATGTAATAAGATTGAATAGTATAAAATATTATACAGTATATTTTGGTTATTTCATCAAAACTAGACTTAAAGAAACAGGATATCTAGCCAAAAACGTAATATAATAGAAGTAGATGATAATATTGAGGATTATGTATGTCAAAATACTGTATAGAATTCAGAATACTTTAAATATCATCTAATCATGTCTTTATATCAATCAGTAAATTAATTAGGTATAGTTTCGATTATAAAATTAACAATCAATTTTTAATTCCGATCTAATTATGATTTTAGAATTTACTAATAATAATCATGCGTCATTTTTGAAACATTATAAAATAATTGCGGCATAAGATACTGTCATAATTTTTTGGAGGTTTATTAGTATAATTCTCAAAAATAAATTACATTATATTGCTTTTTAGATATTTTGCTTATTTTTCTGGAGAAGAAATTGGGTTTGAAATTTTTTTATCAGCTGCCAACAACTGAATTCATTATTTGAAATCATTTATATGGTAAATGGGTTAGAAAATAGTTTAGAAGAATTAATTTCTTTACAAAATAGTTTAATGAATTTGAGGTTAATTGATTATGTTGGAAGTATGAAATAATTATACCTACTTTCCATCAGTTAGTAATTTTACAAGAGTTTAATTTGTAATTTATTGATAGAATAATGGAAATTTTAATAAATCACAAGGCATAATTACAATCTTAAAGTTTCTTAGAAAAATCTTATATAATTTATTTACGCGGTTTGTGAAATAATACCTTAAATTTACCTTATAAAATTTCGGATATTCTGTAATTAAGTGTAGAGAAAGATAACAATTTTTTGTAATTTACATTTTTGGAAAATATAAAAATTTATTAAGGATTATCAAAGTTTTCGTGGTATTAACTATATATATATTACGTACCATTTGTAGAAATCAAAAAAGTAAAAAATTTTTTTTTCATTAAACAATTAGTAACTTTGATGTAGGGAATTGAGTCGACCAATTCAAAATCGATCATGGTCGATCAAGTCAAGTGACTCGACTAATGATTTTGTGTATCGAGTATTCGAAAAAGTAAAATCGATCAACATATAATCGAATAAATTTGCAACACGTAAAATCGATTATATAATACTCGAATAAAATAAATCGATTAAAATATTAATCATGCTTTAATGATAAAATTGGTTAAATAAACGTGATAAACCCTTAAAATAGCAACTTCGCTAACTTTTCTTTGTAACAAGTAAGAAAGTTTCTTTCTTTCACACTCTCTGCTTATAGTATTAATAAACTCTTTTAACGTAAATAATGCCTCCAAAACGTGCAAATAGTTCCACTGAATCTTTACATGTATGAAAACGTTTAGCAAGTGATATTACAGATGAACAAGAACCACAAATTATCCCAAAATCTGCAAATAAAACCAGTTGGGTGTGGGATTACTTTGTAGAGAAAACAGACGGGCGTGTGTATTGTCAATATATAGAAAAAGATGGTGAAAATGAAATTGCAAGTTTGCTATATAAAACACAAACTTCAAGCATGAGTTATCATTTGGGTGATAAACATAAAGTGTTTAATAAAAAAAAGGAGCAGGTAAATAAAATTGTTAAATTGAATCAATTTTAATAAATAATTAATAAATTTTCTTTTGTTTTATTGAAATAAGCAACTTAAAATAGATGATCAAATAAAAAAATTCACTCCAAATAAAGAACCCAAACAGCAATATTTACGTAATGGTCTTACAGATTGGTTGGTTACTGATGGGTGACCATTTGCTACAATTGTAGGAGAAGGTTTCAAACGGTTTATAAAAAGAGTAGATCCTGCCTTTATTGTACCATGTTACAGAACACTAAAAGCTGATATTGGAGCTGGTTATCAAGAAGCACTTTTGCAAATGAAGCAATTGATCAATGAAACTTGTACTTATGCAGCCATTACAACTGATTTATGGACTGCCCGTAATAATCAAGGCTATATTGGTATTACCGGTCATTGGTTAACTCCTAATATGGAATTATATGATATCCTTATTTGTATTGATCTTATTAAATATCCTCATACAGCCGAAAATATTCGTTCAGCATTAGTGAAAAAAATTCAGGAACTTCATTTAAATGATAAAGTAAAACATGCAGTTACAGATAATGGGGCAAATGTAGTAAAAGCAATTAGAGAGTGGGATGGTGTAGATAGGATTGCATGTACTTCTCATATGCTTCAGTTATGTGTAATGAAAGGACTGCATAAAATTAAATCATATGCAAGTAGATTTCAAAAACTTAATCAATTTTTCAATTCACCTAAACAAGCTGAACGTCTAGAACGAGCACAAATTGAAATTGCAAATTTAAATAAAGAAATTACAAGACAAACTTTGACATCATCTGATAGGGAATTACAAGATTCCAATGAACCAATTAATATTCCAGGTGGTTCTCTGCAAATCCTTTGTACTATTGCTGATTGTAAAACAAGGTGGGGATCTACTTTAGCATCTTGGAAAAGATTATTAGAATTAAAAGAAGCAATAAAAAGGACGCTAGTAACTTTAAGATTAGATTCAAATAGTAGCGCAATAAAAGATTGGAAAAAGTTAAGAAAAAGATATCTAAAAGATTGGGAATGGAAATTATTAGAAGAATTGTGCAAATTATTTCAACCAATTGAGCGTGCAACCACATTTTTGGGCGGTGAAAAATATTGCACAATATCCTTAATATATTCAACTTTAGAATCTATTAGATTTTACTATACACCTTTAATTGAAGATGATGATGAAAATGAAGAAGGTATTGAAGGTAATGGTGATGAAATTTTTAATTGTTTAAAATTTTTTTTATTTTTTTTATTCCAACTTCTAATTTTATTTAATTGTTAATGTAATTGTAGATGATGATGATGAATTAGAAGATAATGATGAAGAAAGTGATGATGAGGATGAGGGGGAAAGTGAGTCAGATGAAGAGGAAGAAGATGAACAGCGTATACGGCCAAATGTTACTACAAGACAACAATCTCAACATCAACAACATCAACAACAATCTCAACATCAACAACATCAACAACAACCTCAACGTCAACATCATCAACAACAGCCAAATACTGCATCTATAATTAATAGAGTTCAAAAGGAAATTTATGGTGCTTTATTTGATTATTGGAATGATCCTCCTATGGCTATGCTTTTGGCAACTATTCTTGATCCCCGATGCAAAAGAACACATGGTTGGCCTAATGAATTGCGAGAAAGAGTAAAGGTTGAACTGAAAGTTCAGTATGATGAGATTAAGCCTCAAAATAATACACAACCTGAAGAAAATTTTTCTAATAATAATTCATCAATTGACCGTTTTCATGCATATATTTTTGGCCCTCAAGTTATAGAAGAAAATGAAGACACTGAATTTGACAATTATTTTAGGACTCCTCAAGCTTCTTACGATACCAATCCTTTTCAATGGTGGCAAAATAATAAAGATTCATTTCCAGTGTTATATGAATTAGCTCGTAAATATTTATGTATACCAGCCACGTCAGTTCCAAGTGAAAGACTATTTAGTGATGCTGGGAATCAAATTTGTGAAGAAAGGAACCGGTTAAAAGCATCTACAGTTACTGAATTATTATTTCTCAAGAGAAATAGCGAATATTTTAATGTATTTAAGTAGTTTGTTTGACATGTACTGTATGTCAATTTAATAATAATTTTGAAACTATGTAAAATTGATGGTTCCTTATAAATAAATAATGCGAAAGTATAAAACTACATAAAATTTATATATTTTATTATATTTATTTTTTATTTATTTTAATTTACTAATAAAATACTAATTATTTATGACATTTAATCGATTAATTGTTCGATTAATTGTTCGAGTTTATTAGATCGAGTGTACTTTGATCGAACTTTAATCGATTACAGCTTATTAGTCGATTTTGGTCGATCTTGCCTAAAAAATTTTAACCAATTAATCGAACAATGATTTTGGGTGTCGACTCAATTCCCTACTTTGATGATAGATTTGCCAATTGATTAATTTAACATAAAATTTCGCTAATATGTGGGTTTGTTCTGATGCTTTAGTGAATAGGTTAAGCGCTTTCTTTCTATCTTTAATTGTTTCAATTCCTAAATAATTAAAATATCCAAGTAAAAATATGGAATCTGAATTATTTTGATTAATTAATAACCAATCATGGATTTCTTGTGAATTTATATTATTATCATTAAAATAATCAAGAATATGTTTATTTGATGCTGGATTTTTTCCTTCACTAGTTATTTTGAAAATATAATTTACTATATCGTTAACTATTTTACTTAATTTTATTTCAGATGAAATATCTTCATTTGTTAATGTTTTATATACTATTTCCTTTGTATTCATTTTATCAAAATTTTCAATAATTTGAGACATTTCCCCATGTAATGAATTATTAATATTTGAAGTATCAATATTGATTGAATTAAAATTTTGTTCATCTGTTGATGTTGATTGAAGATTTAATCCCGGTTGATGATTTTCTGTTGTTTTCGTTATAATTTCTTTTAATCTTTCTAATACTTGATTCATAGTTGGACGATTGTCTGGTTCATTATCCCAACATTCTAAAAAATATAATAATATATTATAAATAAAATTTAAATTATAATTAATGAAAGTTCATACGTACCGGTATAAATTTTAATATAATTTTCAGGCGTATTAAGAATGGGCTCTTCTCTACGACCTTGTGAAATTTCTAAAGCTAAATCAATATCGTACTCTTCAGTAGCAAAAGGTGGCTGACCACTAGATAATTCCCAAAATAATACGCCCACACTATAAATGTCACTTTTTTCATTTAATTTTTTATTTTTATTTCGTCCACTAAATCTTTTTGGATCGACGTAAGGAACACATCCAAAAAATTTAGTTTTTGTGTTGGATGATGATTCGATTCTTTTCGACAATCCGAAGTCGGACAGTTTGATAATGTTTTGATGGACTAACACATTTCCGGAGTGCTATTAAGTTAATATGACGTTAAAAACATGAAAAAAAAATACAATGATTATTTTATTATTTAATAAAATTGGAATTACCAAATCACGATGCACTATTCCTTCATTATGTAAACACGCCACAGCACTAGCTAATTGGTACGCCAAGTTGCATTTATTGCTCCAAGTAAGATTATTAAAGTTTTCCTTTAAATAATTTTTGATAGTACCAGAATCAGCATACTCCATTACTAACAAATAATTTTTCGATTGAACATTTTGATATTCTAATAATGAATAAAAGGAATTAATTATTTTCTAATAAATTACATATTTTGCAAAGTTAAAATAAAATTTTAACTATTATTATAATTGAATTTATATAAATTACCTGGTTCAAATTGTGCAACTCCATAGAACTTAATAATATTATTATGAAATTGTATATCACGTTGAAGCTTAAGCTAGATTATAATATTTAATAAATATAAATTTAAATGCATATATTATTAATGACAATAGTATACTTATTTCATAATTTATACCTCATGAACGATTTCTTTTGCAATTACGTCATCAACATTGGAAAAGGATTTTAACGCTAAATATTGGTCTGAATTTTTCCAATTTACACGATAAACTTTTCCAAATCCTCCAGTACCAATTCTTTGAACGTTACTAAAATATTTATGTTCATAAAGTCTAAAATATTCCTTAGAAATTGCTTCTTCAATCCATTTGATACATTCATTTGTATTTTCGGTGTTTTGCATTTTGATATTATTATTGGTCGTAAAATAAAATTAAAAGACGAATTTTTATAAAATTATTTTTTAATTTTAAAGTAAAATCAAGGGACGAATTTTTATTTAATTTTTTTCATTATATAATAAATTTTTGGTAATGTCGTATAGTACACAAAAGGTTGTACAAAAAAAGCGGGTGTTACGATAACATGTAGTGTATGCGGGATACCTATGTATGTAGGGTTGCAAAATTTCACACGCGTTCCATACAGATCTACATTGTTTATTACCAAATAAGGAAAGGCCTAGACAGTTCTATTCTGTACCACGTATGGTCACGTGATCCTTTTATATGTGATGTTTAACCATACCCTACATAAATAGCCAACCATACACTACATGTTTACTATGCTCTCAAAAAAAGCCGCATAACAATCACAACATGCTGCGGTGATCTACTTTTCTTAACCAATTAATCAATTTTCAAAGAACAAATTTTTATACATTATTTTATTTAAAAACGGTTAATAATGCGATATTTTGTTAAAGAAAATTTGTGTAATGCACACTACAGCCTGTCAATATAGAATTAAGATTTCTTTACATGAGAACATAAAAATATCGATGTAAGAGTCAATAATATCGGATTGACATCATTGGCTCACTTGATGATCGGAATGTCGATCATTTTGGCCAAAATTCACGTTAATTTTGGTTGACCTAAATCATAAATTAATCAGTTGTTATAGCAAATTACGTTTTATTAAACTAATATCCAAAATTAGACGGGACTAATTAGTGAATCAAAAAAAAATTAATGTAATTTTGATTAATATTATTAGTTCAGATTCTACAAAATGAAATGTTCAAACAATTTGACTCGTGCGTAAAAACTTTTTATTTTTATATTCAACAAATAGATCAATCCACATCTTTTTTTGGTATTTCCTCAATACAAGTATGAATATTAATTTTTATATTTTTTTTATGTAAGAAACTGTTGTAAATCAAAAAATATTTATAAGCCATCAATTCATTAGGAGAAGGGTGGACATTATTACTCATGGATTTAGTATTCAGATTCGTTATTCTTATTCCTAAATCCATATATAATCTAAGAAATTAAATTCGCATGCAAAGTTTTCTGGTTGATCGTTGACCACAAAGGAATAAACTTCAAGAAAATATTCAGAATATTTATCTGAATTTGAATTATGGAAAACATTCTGGTGATTTACATTTTATTTCTGAAGTTGGTATTCGTTCGTAACTGGGTTAAACATTTAAAGAGATTAACTCTTGCAAAAATATCAGGGTAGAGTAATTAAATTACATATAAAATATTTAAGATTATAGACTTTAAAGATAATAAAGGATTTTTACAATAATCGCAAGATTCCTTTTGATCTAAAGAAATACTAAGAAATGTATCAACATCAAAGAAATTTCAGCCTCTGTTATAAACAATAATATGCATTTTACTATAATTTGTTATAATATAAATTTGTTTTAATTATGTAAATTTAATAAAATTTTACATTATACACGATTTTTCTTTAAATTTAAAACATAATTATTAAAAAGAAAATATATTAAATATATCAAAATAATAAAGCTTAAAGAAGGATTCCATTCCGGGTTTCACATTTTATTTTCTGCCTCTTGTTCATGTTATTTTACAAAATATTTTCTTTATATGTTTATCATGCGAAATTTGTTTTTAATTAAATATTTACTCATTAAAAGTTCTTATTCGCTAATCTAAAAAATGTATTAAATAAAGTCTAATGGAATAAATTCCATAGTATTTCATGAATTTTTAGAATAAAATCGTTATCGTGCCATAATATTATTTTTTGTATCAATCCGAAGTATATGAAGTCACGTGTAAGTTATAACGTGATACTCTGAGCTTAGAAACTACGTTCTTAAAGCCTCCTTATTAAGAAGCGTCATTTTTTTTTCATGTAATCGACGCATGATTACTTCCGTTCGCTGCTTGCTAGAATAATTATACCTGCTCATTATAAAAGTTATAATCCTCTTGCCTTTTAGCAGAAAATATTTTTTATTCCAAACAACTTTTCTATTGAAAAAAAAAATGATTAATAATTAATATTATTATTGAATTATATTGTATCTCAACATTCTGGAATTGGGCGAGACCCTATCGTAAATTCATGCATCTAAGATTCTCTATAATGTCCAATTCTAGTATTTAATGCCCTGTAAAGCCCTGTAAAAAAGTCGATCCGTTTTTTATAATCCATCTTTTTTTCGTAAAAGACTCATATTTCCGGAATTAATAACTTATATCACGGAATTTGTCGAATTATTTACATTTTCCGTGAATGGATCCGTGAAAGGCTCATTTTTACGGAATTTTTACAGAAATAACGGATAAAAATTTTTTTATAGGGATGATTGATGAAATATTCTGATTTTAAATAATCATTTATTTTCTAATAAAAGAAAAATCCGAAATGGTAAGTATAAATTACACTTACAAAATAGCAACAATTGACGTATTTTTAGTCCTGTTTTAATTTTACGTTAAGGTGCACAAATTATTAAACATTAGGAATGACAAACAATTATGAGAATAATAATATGAAATGTCATATTAAGTTAGATAAAATATTACATTATCTTAAATTCCTTTTACTTCTTTGTAGGTATATAGTCGTATCGAGTCAGTAAGAAGAATATAAATAAATGATATATAAAATAGAGGTTGGAACCGGTTAAGACATCGGTTAACCGATTAAAACTATTTTGACCATAAATCCATAATTCTGGTCAGATTTACTTAATAATGCGGCCCAGAGACTTGGTAATTTCAGTCATGTGTTCCCAAACTCGAAGCTTTAATACCGAATTTTTTTCCTATTTATTAATAATGGTATTGATGAAAAATAATCTTCTTTCAACTAAATGTGTTAGTAAAATCAAAAATCGGTACAATTTCAGCAAAAAAAAATTTTAAAATATTTTTCATATTAACCGGTTTAATTAACCGGTTAAGGTTTTTTTTTTGACGGTTCCCAACCTCTAATATAAAATTTTATATAATCAATCGTTAATTAAATTGTCAGTTATTGGTTCGTTTCCATCTTACTCAAATATGTATCAAATTCTTAACGAACTTTTTAAATGTAAAGTTTATAAGATATTTATTTTATTAAATATTTCTTAATCCTAATACATAATTTATGTTTCTTAAAAAATAAAAATAAATAATATTTATAATATAAATAAAAATGAACCTAATAAGCCTCTTTTAAATAATTTTTCTGCTACAACAAATATTTTTAAAATTAGTTTTAATACGTTTTCCTATTTAAATATTTTAAAATATTAACATAAATAAAAAAATAAAAATAAAAATAAAAATAAAAATAAAATAGACGTTATCAAGCTTACCATTATTATCATGAGTTTCAAGGTTTGATTCTTCGATGTTTCGCTTATTCAAAGAGATTAAAGAATTTTGAATTGTTAAATTTTGCGACGATAAACTAAATAAATATCAATTAATTAGTACACAGTGTAATATCATTTAATAATATAATGTAAATACCTTTCAATTTTTATATCAAGCTCTTGTTCTTCTGATATATAATTGTAATTATAACCTAAAGAAAATAACATGTACAGTATTTTAAAGACTACATAATTTTAATTACTATTAACTTTTTTTAATAATACCTTGTTTATTACCAAATGAAATTATTTGATGAATTGGTGGACGAACATTCAGAAATTAAAGCACTTAATGGCCTACTAGTATAAATGGCACCTGGATGACATTTTTCAGGTCCAATCTTCTTTGATTGTATAAGCTCCATTCTTTTTACTTCAAATTGATCAAAATTATCAAAATTATTAAAAATAATTCTAAAACTATCAGAATTTTTAAAACTATTAAAACTATTAAAAATATTATGAATTTCTGTTATAGACGGCCTTTTATTAGGGTCAGTATCCCAACAACTTTTCATTAAATTAGCATAAAATTCTGGAGTATCTTCTGTAATTTTTGGTCTTTCGCCATCGAGTATTTTGTAAACCAAATGAATATCATGCTTAACATCAGCAAAAGGTTTACAACCTGTTGTAAGTTCCCACATAACCATACCGAAACTATAAATATCGGCTTCTTTAGAAAACTTAGACCCTTTAAAGATTTCTGGTGCAATATAAGGTATAACACCATAGACTTCATTATTCGTTGATTTATTATCTACCGATTGTGATAATCCTAGATCCCCAATTTTCCAATTGTGCTGAAGAATATCAATATCACTCAGTAATATGTTAAACGCCCGCCAAAGATTACTATAACCACTAAGTAATATGTTACCACTATGGAAGTCTCGATGTATAAATTCATTTTTATGAATATAATCAAGTCTAAATAAAAAAAGTCAATAATTTAAATTTTAAGAATATAATGAAAAAATTAAAAATATAAATACCCTTCTGAAAGTTCCAATAGAATATTTAGTTTATTATTCCATGTAATTGTTGTAAAATTCTTTTGTAAATACTTGTGTAAATCTCCTCCTGACGCATATTCCAAAACTAATATATAGTCCTCTAATCTATCTTTTGTAAACCCATAAATTTTAATTATTTGACTGTAAACTTGTTCACTAAAAAAATGTTGATACGATTTTAACTATTAAATTTAAAGATTAAATTAAAAATTAAATTAATTTTAATAAGAAATTGTCCAGGAAAATGTTTAAAAATAAATGTTCACCTCATTTAAGAAATATTTTCCAATATTTTTAGAATTTTCAAATCTTTTTAAAATGACAGTTTTACTTTCGCTTACCCAATTTGCTTTATAAATAATACCATATCCTCCTTTTGTCATCTCTTTTGCATCTGTAAATTGAGAATATGGTATCCACTTAATGGGTTTATTGAAATTTATTTTTTTAAAGTTCAAAATTTGATTTGGTATAAAAAATTTATCAATATTTTTTACAATATTTGCAAATTCAGGTAATTTGTTATCATAATACATAATATTATAAGTAAGAAAATCTTCTTTGTCATTTAAAATAATTGATATGATGTTTTTACATTTTTTACATTGAGATTGACTTGTAAGTCCAAAAATCATATTCGTTGTTAAACAATATCTGCATCCAACATAATAAACAAAGCAATCTGTACAATACTTCTGACAGTCTGATACAAATTTTAATTTTGATACACAAATATCACAATATGCATTATTATGCCACCATGGTAAGTAAAAGATCATAATTTGTTTTTCGGCAAAAGTTGATTCAATGTATCCAGAAAAAATTATATAACAATCTGAACATAATTTATAATATTCTACAATATTTCTATCTGTTCCTTGATATAATGACTTCCCACATAATTTGCAACATTCTTCACTTTCAATTACCTTATCGTATATAGCGGGATTGTTGTTATGCCCACTTATTTGTTTAAAATATAAAATTCTCAGACAATTTTTACAACATTCTTGAATACTTTGTGATACTTTTGTCATACTTATTTCATGTTCACCACATTCTGAGTTCATTGTGTAATATACATCCAAGTATGTATCAATTGTATCATCATCAGTTATCTTATTAATATAACTCGATAAACATTTTTTGCAATATTTTTGCGTATAACAAGAAAGAGTCGTAATATATATTTCTCCGCAATAAATACATACGTCATCATACTTATTAAAAGAAATAAATTTAATTGGTATAGGACTAGATTTTAATCTTGGTGTTGGGTCAAAAAAATTTCCGTCCTTTGTTTTTGCGAGTTCCATTTTTTATGTTACTGTATATTTTATAAACAAGTATCGATAACGATAGTGAATTCAGAAATTTTGAACGTATTTTATTTATAACTGAATGATATATTATTAAAAATAGAACTTTCTGTTAGTGTTACAGAAAGTAACTTCCAAACTTCCTCATGGAATTTAAGAATTATTACAAAAAATTCGGTTTTTAAATTTAGAAGAGATATGCATAACAATTTACTTATTTAGTTTGATCAACAGTTGGCGTAAGCATATCATAATTTGAAAAAAAAAATAAAACATAGCAACTTTTATGATTTGTTGATTGTGGCGATCCTACACTACTATTCAAACAAATTGTACTAATTAACTAATTATTAAGAATGTCATCGTAGAAGTCAATGATAGAAACAAAAATGAGCACAAACTAAAAAAGGAAACGATAAAAGAGTGAAAGAAATCAAATACTAACCTGAATAATAAAGAATATTCTTTTAGATATAAAATAAGGTCAAAAATAATTTTATATGTAATTATAAATTACATAATTTAATAAAATTTCATGATTTTTATTAAGCAACTAGTAAATAAGTAAGATATAAATAGAAAAAATTCTTTATAATAAATATTAGTAAAAAATTAGCAGAGTTGTAAAATAAAGTATTTATACGGCAAAATAATAATATTTATTATACACATGGTTTCTTTCGGTTTGCGTGTAAAAAAAATTTTAACGTACATATTACAGTATTTAGCTTTTTCCATGTTAAAATTTTTATTTGCATCACTTATCGATTAAAGTTAAAGAAAGAACTGTCAGTTTCCAACCACAATTTATCTTAGTGAAAATTTTATTTAATAATATAAATCATAAAAATAGATGAGAGAAATATACAATAATCCTAATTCCACCTTTCTACATAGTTGTCTTTTAAGTTGCATCGTAATATTTGTGTGCAAAAATCTTAATTAGTAGCGTTAGTTTAGATTGATAGTAAAAAGCTAGCCAAGAAGTCATTTAATTGCAACTTCCTATGTCTATTTTAAACTATAATTTTTTATAGATTATATGATCCACCAAAGTTATTTATTTTTTTGCATACAAGATATAACTATTAATGCAAAAAAAATTTCCGATGCATTCGATGCATATACTGTATGTTAATTTTATTTAAACGAATTAATAAATTTACATAGCTTATTATTTTTGTATAGAATTTTTTTAAAATTTTCCCGTAGATGCCAAATCTCGATGTAAAAGCAAATGTACCAAAAAATGATTATGAACCACCATATTTGCTGGTCACACATGCCGGTTTCATGTGATTTCGGATAATCATTTTCAGTATAATTGTACCGATACCTACAAAAAAAAAAGAAAGAAACGTTGCCATAGTGACTTAAAATTTGAACGAACATTTTTTAATTATAATTGTTGGTTTAACATGACTCTTTTTTAAAATAAGTTTATAAAAAAAGTTATAGTGAAGAGAAAGAAAAAAAAAATATTTATCTGACGTAATTGATTAAAATTAGGAAATCACATGTCGGTGGCGATGCACGAAAACGCGGGAGTTTGATTGCTAATTCAAGGTATATGGTTTCAATGAAGATTTGATTTAATCCAGATCAAGATTATATGATGGTTTTACAGTATTATAAAGATATTTATGACACAATACATTATTTTAGATATTAATACGATAATAACTTATTGATCAGTATATGTATTTATAAATATTACCTGTAAAATAAATTATTCTAAAGATAAAAATAAGTATAATAAAATTTTCTTTTAATAATAAAATCATTATGAAATAAAAAAATCGACAATCTGTATATAATAATTAATCTAATTTATTTTCATTTCATTCGTTTCTTTAAAATATGTTTAAATAAATTAAAAGTAGCCTTCAGTCGTATCGTACTGGAATTGCTAAAGTTGATTAGTCATGACCAATATTATGTAAGATAATACTAACTTGATTTTCATATGTAGATTTAGTTTATTTTAATGTATTATTTTATACTGTTTTATTATATAAATTATTGTTGCGTAAATATCTTTGATATTTTTGATGTATTACGCCATTTAGATTAATTATAATTTTTATAGGTAGTGGTTAAAATATCATCCGAACTGCTTTACAGTTCGGTGATATTACAACCATCTTACCCAGTAAACTATTATTTAATTAGATAGTTATTTTTATTGTATTATTTACATAATGTTTGACATATTACATCACCTGAAATATTGTGTCATTTTGGTATTTCTTCGTTTTATAAGTTTGAAACTTCATGTAAGTAATATGAGTCATAGCCATAATTCATAGGATTTAATTTATAAATAGAGACAAGATTTCAACTTCAATCCAACATTCTACTTTTTTCAACATCCTACTTTTTTTTCGTCTACCTTCTTTTTCATTTTACCTTCTTTTAAAAAAAAACTTACCTTCTTTTTTTTACCTTCTTTTTTTTTTTAAAAAAAAAAAAAAAAAATTAAAAAGTCTAGACATAAAATTGAGGTCACATTTATTAATCCAATATGGAAGAAATTATGCTCAATGACGATGTATTTGAGCAAAAAAAAAAAAAAAAAGAAAAAAAAAATTCAAAACTTTTAAAAACTTCAATAAAAAAACTTCAAACATAAAAAAATCTAGAAAAAAATTCTATTACTTTTTTCATTACTTAAAACAAAAAAACATGACCTCAAACTTTTTGGTTGAATTATCTAACGACTACAAAAACATTTTTGAATCAGAAATAGGATACGATGTTATCATTTACGCCGGTGTAAAGCCAAATATCAAAGAAATTCATGCTCACTCATATATATTATGTACTAGGTCTCAATATTTTCGTTCTGCATTTTCAAATGTATGGGCCGAGAAAAAAGATGGAAAATTTATTTTCGAAAAACCAAATATTTCTCCGCAATTATTTGATATAATTCTCAGGTATTGTATATGATATATAATAATTTAAAATATTTTTTTTTTATTTTTTATTTAATTATTTCTAATAATTATCATTTAAAATTAGATTCTTATATAGTGGAAGTATCGAATTGAGAACTCTACAGTGTCAAGATATATTAAAGTTGTTGATTGCAGTGGATGAACTTAATATTCATTCACTAATTTCTTATATTCAAAAATATTTAATTGAACAGCAAGCCGAATTTTTACAACAAAATCCGATTGAAATTCTTGAAATTAGTTATCAATATGAACAATTTACGGATTTATCAAATTTTTGTCTCGAGAAAATTTGTGAAGAACCTAGCATCTTATTTAATTCTGATGAATTTATTAATTTAAAAGCTCCTTTGTTAGAATTATTGTTAAAAAGGGATGATTTGTATGTGGAAGAAATTGAAATTTGGGAAAATTTATTGAAATGGTGTCTTGCTCAAATAAACGTGGAGAATAATCCCACTAAATGGAGTACAGATGATATTAAAAGGATTGAAATAATATTACAGAATTTTATTCCTTTTATTAGATTTTATAATATTGAACCTGATGATTTCATTCACAAGATTTTTTGTTATAAAAACATTTTACCACAAGATTTAGTTGCTGATCTTGTAGAATTTAACTTAGTTCCTAATATTAAACCTAAAGAAAATATGATACCACCAAGAAAATCAAATTTAAATCATTTAAAACTTAATTCAACAATAATTGAACCAAAATATATTCCTCTTTTTGCATCATGGATTGATAAAAAGGATCCTTCATACTATAATAGAAAATTTATTCCTTATGATTTTAAATTATTATACCATACAAGTCTTGATGGATTTAATACAAAATCATTTCATAAACATTGTGATAATAAAGGAGCTACTATTTGGATAGCAAAACTTCAAGATTCAACTCAATTAATTGGAGGTTATAATCCTCTTGATTGGAATGGATATGGTCGAAAAAATACCAGATCTAGTTTTCTATTCAATATCCCAGATGGAAAAAATATTTCCACCGCAAAAATAAGATTTAATACGGCAATGTGTGCTATTTATTGCCATGCAGGTCATGGCCCTAGTATGGGTGATCTATACTGTCCTAATTCCGGTATTTGGTTTTATGATTCCAAAATTGGTAGAAATACTATAGGTATTCCATCATTGATTAAAATAGAAGAATATGAAGTATTTCAAGTAATTAAAAAATAATTCAACAAATGATTTATACCGGTTATGTAATACGTGCAAAATACAACGTTTCTATTGGCATTCAAAATAGACTAATAATTTATTTAATATATTTATTAATAATAATATCATATAATTATATATTTATATTTATTATCTTATTTTAATAGTATAATAATTATTTTAATCTTTCTTATTAATAACAATATAATACAATAGTATAATACTTCTTATATTAATATCATAAAAAATATTATCTTAATAATAATAATTAATTAATTTTATAAATATTATTTTAATCTTTCTTATTAATAATATAATAATTTAATAATAAATCTTAATAATGATAATCAATATATATACTTCATCTTTACCTTATTCTATTTTTAAGTTAGCAATTTTTTAAATTCCAAATAGAAGAACCAATACCTTTGTCTGGTTAAACGCCGAAATGAAACCTAACTTTTTAATGTAAGGTTTTTTCAATTGCAATTCGTTTAAAGGGATATATATTACGTGCTCAGATGAATTCATACGGATATCATTATATAATAATAATAGGCGCAGTAATCTACGTTTCTTTAATAAGATCGACAACAATCAAATGACTCATAAGAAAAATAATCATGCATCGGAACCTAAAATTGTGATTATGATCAGTAAGTAATGATGACTCAGTTGAATTTTCCCATGAAATATCAATTTTTTTTACACGAAATTTCCTTACTTACTTACTCGCACTCGCACTTTTTTTTTCTGTACTTACACCCGTACTTATTATTGAGTTTATATTTGAATAAATAAAAATAAAAAATATACAAATATTCTTTGTTTATCTCGTCTTTTAACTCCATGTTCAAAAACACAAAAATATCTCAAGTCTTTCGGCCGCTTCTAGTAGTCAAAAAAAAGTTTCGTCGAAACTTCCTTATTTTCGTTGAAAATTTTCGTTAAAGAAAACTTATAGTAAACAAACGACGAAAAACATATTAAAAATTGTTAAAAAATAGTTATAAACACTTTATTCAATATAAACTTCCTTTAAAATGACAACTTAACGTTAACAGTTAGAGGAAAAATTGGAATAAGCGTCAAACTTGAATAGAAATCAGTAATATTATTTTCTTTGGTAAGTGGAAATGGCTAAGCTGGGATGTATAAGGGAATAGTGCACCTAGAGTGCTTTGGTTATCCTCCTCTTCTAGTAGTCTGGTTACCTTCAATGAGAAACATAATACTGTATATCAATATATCTCAAGCTATGTCGCAGACTTCTGTATGTGGGGCCCGTCCCTTTGGTGGTGGGTCTCATGTCTTATTATCAATGTGACAGTACCTCTGCACGAGTTTGATCACTCACGATATACGTTAATGTCAGTTGATAGTAGGCATGGGGGCTTGAATCTGTCTTTTCTACAAAGCTTACTTAGAGTACTCGAGTCTTCTAATAT